GAACTGGATTGGGATTGTGTAATAGCTGGTCTATTTTAACCTTTGTTTTAACCTTCATCCTTAACTTCTGTGGTATGGAGTTATACCCTGGCACTTCGATGATGATATTTTAAATTATCTTTAACTTTTAACTTACAGTATATTCTGGCGTATAAGACTACTTTTTAACCCAAGAAAATCTTTTCAAAAGTCAGGGGTCGTCTTATATGCGGGTGTAGTCTTATGCATGGGAGTCATCTTAATTCTATATTTTAACTGGAAAAGTTGGGGGTCGTCTTATATGCCCAGTCGTCTTATATGCCGGAATATACGGTAATCAAGTTTTCATTGTGTTTTAATGTATGTTCAATATTACAGAGGTTTTAGGACAGTGATTAGTGTCTATTTGTGTATTTTCTTGTTTTTGTCTTTTACTGTTGATATGGTCAGTGGACGAATCAATAAACTTCACTACTAGTTGATTATGTGATCACACTTCTACTTTTGGTGACATTCTACTAATTCAGGAAACCCACAGTTCATAAATACCCTCATCATTGATGTTAATGATGTGTCTCCTCCTTCCTGCTGAGTCAGTTGGGTGCAAATTATTTTTGTTCTTTGAATTCAGTTTCCAGTAATTGGAACAAGCTCAGGACAAAGAAGTAAAGGGGGGGGGGGGGGAGAGAGGAACTGAGACATTTTCAAATCAACTGCAAAAGTGGGATGGCAGAGGAGTGTCTCTACCAAACTGGGACAATTGGATTGCTTCAGTAATCTCTTCTTTTATTCTCAGTGTTTCCTTGGGACACACTTTTGAAGTCCATAGCTGATTAGTAATTTTTGTTTGGTTGATTTCCCCTCTGCGTAAGTTTTGACCAGCTGGTTGGGGAGTCAATTCCATAAAACAAAACTGAAGACAAACTGGGAGTTTAAAGTACATGAGATGCAAGCAGGGGTTATTTCAACATTATACGAGGGTTGAATGAAAAGTAATGCCTCCACCTTCATAACTCCTGTTCGAATCCGGGGATAGGCGAATGAGCTCCCTCTATCAGCTCCAGCTCCTCATGCGGGGACATGAGAGAAGCCTCCCACAAGGATGATAAAAACATCAAATCATTCAGGCATCCCCTGCGCAATGTCCTTGCAGACGGCCAATTCTCTCACACCAGAAGCGACTTGCAGTTTCTCAAGTTGCTCCTGACATGACAAAAAACAAAACAAAACAAAAAAAATAAACAGATGGCAATACTGGTATTCAGCAGGCACTGACTTGTTCAGTAGACTCTACAGTTCCATTTTAACGGGAAGCCTTAGCATTGAACAGTTGTGTTGTTAAAGTCCAAAGTATGGAACCCTGTGCAGACGGTCGGTCAATGCGACTTAAGCAACGTGCAGTCATTGAATTCTTGACAGCAGAAGGTGTCACCCCAAAGGAGATTCATCAGAGAATGCAAGCTGTTTATGGTGATTGTGTTGATGTGAGTACTGTGCATCATTGGGTAAGTAAGTTTAAAGATATTGATGTGAGAACATCTGACGAGTGTGACAAACAAAAAGTTGGACATCCTGTGACAGCAACCACTGAGTTTCATAAGCAAAAGGTTGACAGATTGATTCAGGACAATCATCGTATCACTCAGAGAGAAATCTCAAACATAATTGGCATTTCACAAGAATGTGTGGGTCACATTATTGCTTTGCTTGGCTATCAGAAGATCTGTGCACGATGGGTACCCAGGAGGGTGACACTTGAAATGAAAACGCACAAAATTGAAATTTGCCAGAAACGCTTCTCACGCTATGAGAATGAAGGCGACACTTTTCTCCATTCAATTGTGAATGGAGATGAAACGGGTACACCATTACGACCCGGAGACAAAGCATCAGTCTATGGAGTATCGACACAAAGACTCACCCCAGAAAAATAAATTCAAGACACAGCCCTCAGCTGGAAAAATCATGGCAACAGTGTTCTGGGATGCAGATGGTGTTATCCATGTTGATTTCCTTGAATGTGGAACAACAATAAATTCAGAGTGTTACATCACAATGTTGCTAACCGCTAACAAGGGTCTGAAAGGAAAAGGGAAATGTTTCATGCAGCATGACAATGCCAGTGTGTACTTCACATGCCATCACAGCAGAACTTCAGAGACTGGATCTCACTCCATACAGTCCAGATTTAGCACCATCTGACTTCCATCTGTTCCTGATAATGAAAGAAGATCTGCGGGGACATCATTATGCTTCTGATGAAGATTTTGAGAGAACTGTGAGACGCTGGATGCAGAAACAGAGTGTCGACTTCTTCTGTGACGGCTTCAGAAAACTTGTTCATTGTTGGCAGAAATGTATCCAATTGTCTGGTGATTCTGTGGATAAGTGAATAGTGGTAGTTAAAGAGCACATTCTAAGGATTATTTCTGCATTTGATTTATTAAAATATTCCCATCCAACTCAATGGTGGAGGTATTACTTTTCATTCAACCCTCGTATCTTGAGGCAGGCATGTCACATTGCATCCAGGAAGCTGCCATGAAAGACTGTAATTCAATTTCCAATAAATACATGATTCTGAAATGGGTTGTTTCTGTGTAACATAAAATGAGCCAGGTTTTAAAAAGTAATAGTCTCTCTCTCTCTCTATATATATATATATAATCATTCATTGTAAAAATACAATGTAAAAAGAGAAATACTGTAATAACCTCTGAGGCAAATGTCTAACTCTTCTCAATGCAACTTTGTTTTATTTTATTAAATAAAAATTCCTCTTTTCTTGCCACAATAAAGTACCAAGAGTTGCATCTAGTGTAGTCTCTGTCATGTAATCAGATCTGAAGCCAGGCTGAAATGAAGCTAAATAATCTCTTTCATCCAGAAATCTTTGGAGCTAAGATGTCACCGCATGCTCCAGCAGCTTGCCTGAGAAATGAGATATTGAAGATGGTCCAGAAACAGTACAGTCAGGAGTGTTAAACATAGATGTCATGCCATCTCTTTTAGGCATGATCTCACAAGAGGCATTCCCCACTGTTCTCTGACACTTGGCCATTTCCCCATCCACCAGCTGCTTTTATAAACCTGAAGGGCAAAAGCCAAGCACAAACACAGTGTATCTCAGCTCTTCAGGGATACTGTACACATCTTTAGGCTTTATAAATTGTCCAGCACCCATTATTACTCTACAACTAAAGGCTGCAGTTGTGTTTATAGACTTATATTGATCATTGCAAGTATTTCAGAATGGATTTAAATGATATTGGTTTGCTGTGAGTTTTCTGGGCGGTATGGCCATGTTCCAGAAGCATTCTCTCCTGACGTTATGCCCACATCTATGGCAGGCATCCTCAGAGGTTGTGAGGTTTGTTGGAAACTAGGCAAATGAGGATTATATATATATATATATATATGGAATGTCCAGGGTGGGAGAAAGAACTCTTGTCTGCTTGAGGCAAGTGTGAATGTTGCAATTGGCCACCTTGATTAACATTTAATGGTTTTAAAAGCCTGCCTGCTTCTTGCCTGGGGGATCCTTTGTTGGGAGGTGTTAGCTGGCCCTGATTGATTCTTGTCTGGAATTCCCCCCTTTTTAGCATCGCTCTTTATTTACTGTCCTGATTTTAGAGGTTTTTTTTAATACTGGTAGTCAGATTTTGTTCATTTTCATGGTTTCCTCCTTTCTGTTGAAATTGTCCACATGCTTGTGAATTTCAATGGCTTCCCTGTGTAGTCTGACATGGTAGTTGTTAGAGTGGTCCAGCATTTCTGTGTTCTCAAATAATATGCTGTATCCAGGTTGGTTCATCAGCTATGGTTGACTTTTCTGGTTGAAGTAGTCTGGAGTGCCTTTCATGTTCCTTGATTCGTGTTTGGCAATGCTGCGTTTGGTGGTCCCTATATAGACTTGTCAGCAGCTGCATAGTATATGGTATACTCCTGCAGAGGTGAGAGGATCCCTCTTGTCCTTTGCTGAACATAGTATTTGTTGGATTTTCTTAGTGCTGTTAGGAATACCAGACATATAGGCCTGGTGCTGTTAGGAATACCAGACATATAGGCCTGATGTAATTGTGGGGAAGTGTTTGGGGATATATGACAAACAGGCCTCATTATAGTTGGTGGCTCATATACAAAGAGAAAGTACAAGAGCTTCTTCTTTAGAGGTTCATCATGCCAGCAGCAAAGAGAGAAAGGTTGTTTTTTGCTGCTCCAGAGACTAGGCTCTGAACCAAAAATTCTATTTACAAGAAAATAAATTCCACCTAAACTTTAGGAAGAAGTCCCAGGTGGTAAGGTCTATTGAGGAGTGACGTAGTCTGCCTTGGAGGATGATAAGAATCTTCTCTTTTGGAGATCTTTAAAGGGAATTTTGAGGGCCATCTTTTTGGGGTGCTTTTGATGCATATTCCTATATAGAACGGGATTGACTAGATGGCTCTTGCAGTCTCTTCCAGGTCGATGAGTCTATCTCTCTACAGTGTGTTACACTTGATTCTTGATTGACAAAATAGGATGGTGATTAAGAAAGTCTGCAGAAAGGTTTAGTCTTCAATACAAAAACAGCTTAAACAATTGATGACGGGAAGGAGCAATCTTCTGAGCACAAATGAAGGGTGTTCAATGAAATGGTTAGCAGCCCAGACTTTAGAAGTAACATGTTATCGCTAATGATTTTACATTTTAATTAGCTAGTTCCATATTATAAATATATTATTCTGCAAATAATGAATGAACTGCTAGTATCAAAAAGTAAATTAAATAGGCTAAACAGTGAGGGATAGCTTTAAATAAATCCAAATCCAAGTCCATGTCATTGAGGAACGGTAATCAGGGCATGCAGTTCAGTCACTCGGGGGTGGGGGGGTAGAGTGCCATTTCTTAAAAGGCTACAAATTGAAGAATATATATGGATATATAATTTTGAGATTTGAGGCCAGAATTATTATTCACCTACTGTTCAGTAGTGGAAACAATAATTTATAATACTGTGATGTCTCTTTATATTCACACAGGGCTTTTGGGAAAGCCACAACACACTGATAAATGAATATGGGCCTGCTTGTGGGTAAGAGATTCTGCCTTTCATTTATTTACTTTGTAGATGTTTTTTCTTGACTTTTGTTTGTTGTTTTAGTTGTTTTGGTCATATGGATTTAATAGTGAATTGTGGCATGAGCCTAGCATGAGTCGCCGAGTTAGGCTGAAAAATGCGGTATAGAAATAAAGCAAATAAATAATAGCAACATCTGGTCCAACTTTTCCCAATTTATTGCCAAAATTATATTTATGTTGCTGAAGATGTTGCTGGAATTCAATTCCCACGATCCTTGTCTACTGACTGTATTAACTAAGGTTGATAGAAACTGTAGTCTTGTACATATAGTATTCATTAAATTGTGAAAAGCTGGTGTAAATTTGCAGTTTTAAAAACTGCATTTCTGCCTCTTTAAAATCTGAGTATTTTCTTTTAGTTGCTGCAGTGCAAATTCAGCCCTTTTGCCTGGCAATCCCATTAATTCTGTCATCCTATTAAACACCCTAGTGATAGTTTTGTATTAGCAGGGGCCTCTGAAATGTAATGAATGGGATTGGAAACTAGACTTCAAGCATCTTCCACATTCTCTATACTTACTTTGCTCCACTTTCCCCCCAAAACCGGGGATGCGCAGCAACTTACAAAAAGAAAATTTTAAAAGTGAAAAGACATATAAGGACTTAAATAAAATTGTCATGTTTAATATGTGATTAAACTATCTATCGATAAGAATAATTTAAAACACATCAATTAAAAGGTGCAAGATGAAAAATAATAACAAAAATGTCTTACAATCAATTGCCAAAAGCTTGCAGGAGTAGTATAGTTTTCACCTGATGACAGAAGGACAAGAGGTAGTCCCAAAGCCTGGAAAAAGCCATGGAGAAGGTCTTTTAATATGTTCCCACCGGAAACACTTGGAAAGTTGGTGGATTTCTTGGCTTTTTCTGTTCTTTTTCCTTGTGCCACTTTAGTCCAGCTCCTATCATCTTGTCTCCAGGAAGATATTTTTTTTCGTGTCAGGAGCAACTTGAGAAACTGCAAGTCACTTCTGGTGTGAGAGAATTAGCCGTCTGCAAGGATGTTGCCCAGGGGACACCTGGATGTTTTGCCATCCTATGGAAGGCTTCTTTCATGACCCCACATGAGAAGCTGGAGCTGACAGACGGGAGTTCACTCGTCTCCCCAGATTTAAACTGCTAACCTATCAGTCAGCAGTCTGGCCAGAAACAAGGGTATAATCCCTTGTGCCACCACAAGCTCCTTTCCAGGTAGCTATTGAGTTTCATAGGAAAGAAAATAAGAGATCAGGTTGGTTAATGTTTGAAGGCTAATATAGTCTTCCCCCACATAATTAAAAAGCCAACTTGATTTTTCCTGCCTAACTCCATCCTAAAGCCTACTTTGTGGAGAGGTGGAAGCTGGCACTCGTGTCGCACTAGTCTTGAAGCCTCTCAGATTTTATTATGGAACCCCTACCATACTTCACTATGCCTATGGCAGGGATGGGAATTAGGCCACCCTTCAAATATTGTTCAGTCTCAGTTCCTATACTAGCCAGAGCTGCTGAGACCTTGGCTATGCTGATTTGAGTTTATAGGAGTCCAGCAAAGAAATAGCTCCCCGTCCCTGCTTTGTAGGGTTTGACAAGAACATTAAAAAGAGAGGTGCATTTTTTGCTAAAAGAAAGGGTGATGGAAAGCACTATAAGCATTTGCTTAGCAGAAGAAACTCCAGTTTGCAAAAGTGGCAAGACCTGCTGATATTATTTAGCTTGAGCACATCTGTCAGAATTTTGTCTTTCCTCCCTCTGACCTGGAGTTTTCCGTTTCTGATGATGACACATTATATGTCACCTTCTTAAAAATCAGATGAATTCCCTGTTTCCCAAGAACATAACATCCCGATGTCATGCATAGATTCATATTTCAAGTACGGTAGATCGTCTGATCATATTTCATTCTAGTGTTATCAGCTAGACAAGTTTGGCTTCCTGTACAGGTTCACTGGTTGATTCTCATTAATCTGAATGATTGAATTCCTGCTAGAAACTTGAAGGACAGCAGATATTGTATCCATTACACTAGCTAAAAACAGGTAGTGCAAGAAACACCTAACATAATCAAGTCTGAATGAGTCATGAAAGCATGTGCTGAATGCCTTGCATTACTGGAATCAAATTACTTGGGTTGACCCTTGAGCAAGGATGAAAACGGAGTTTCAGCAAGCGATTAATGCTTTGTGCTAGAAGAATGGCACCAATGAGAAGCACCAGAGTCTGTAAAAGGTATTTGTTGGGATTACACCCTCCAGAGACCCCAATGGGATTTCAAAGTTTTGTCCAGATTATGGATGCAACATAACATAATGAGAGCCTGGCTTTCTACATCTGAAGTGGCAGCCACGTGCACCAACACATTTTATGCTAGTGTTGTTATGTGTGTTCACATGTGTGTGTGCATGCATAAGTATTACATTTATATTATGCTCTTTCTTCACAGAGCTCAGAGTGGCATACTATGAGACAGGTTAGGATGAGAGATTGTACCTGGCTCATGGTCTTTAAATTGCTGCTAGTGCAATATACAAACCATATACAAGCTCAGTACTTAAGGGAGTTTGCCCATATCCTGAAATCAACATTTGAGATTTTCCTTCAAATCCCTCCGTTGAAATGGAGAAGGATGCCAAGGAAGTGGATGACTAGTGAGATCTACCTGTCCCTGGCATTAGCATATTTCTGGCACCAGATTAAGCTTTTTTTACTCGATTTGTGGAGATTTGACTAATCAAATTTTAAATCAGGTTATTTTTCACATTAATGATTCCTATTGTGTGTTATTCCTAGAGTGACTTTGTAGTTTTATTTTACAGATGTAATGTTTCTATTTTTGTTTTTAACTTGACCACAGTGATCCTCGCTCTTGTTACATCCTGAATAGATTACTGCAATGCATTCTACGTAGGGTTGACTTTCAAGACTGTTCAGAAGCTTGTACTAGTCCAGTGGGCAGCAGCCAGATTTCTTACCGGAGCAGAGTACAGGGAGCACACAACCCCCCTGTTGTGCTTGCTTCACTGGCTGCCAGTCTGCTACTGAGCACAATTCAAAGTGCTGGCTTTAGCCTATAAAGCCCTAAACAGTTCTGACCCAGCTTACATGCCAAGATCTTTTGGAGGCCTTACTCTCAGTCCCACCCCCTCTGCAGGTGTGTTTGGTGGGGACAAGAGACAGAGCTTTCTCAGTGGTGGCCCCTTGCCTATGGAACACTCTTCCCAGTGAAATTAGAACAGCCTCTTGTCTCCTGTCCTTCAGGAAGAAAATAAAAACATGGTTATGGGACCAAAACTTTAGATAATAATCTTCTAGTTTAATAAGTGAACACAGTTTAGTGCAATGATGAATGGATTACGAATTTGGACTGTGTGGTTTTTAATAATTGTTTTAATGTGACATGTTTTTAAATCTCATTTTAATGTAGATGTTATTTTCTTGTATATATGGGATCAAATTGCTGCCTATCCGTGAGACTATTTTGAGTCCCCTTTGGGGTAAGACAGGCGGTATATAAATGTAGTAAATAAATAAATAAATAAATAAATACTGGTTGCATTAAAACACATTGGCTCTTTATAAAGAAAAAGACAACTCACAAATAAGAACATTGTTTTCTGTAGTGATAATAAGGATGTGAATAGTAGTTGTTGATGACAGAGTGATGAGGAGGCAATGATTAATATTTAAAATTTGCATGTGGAAAATTCTTGTTCATTTTTTATGGTTATTGGAATTTGCATGTAGATATTTGGCTAGCAAAACAAAAATTTTGCATTTGATATTTTAATGTTAAGTTTGGCATCTGTGTTCATTTTTAAAGTAAGTTCTCAACATTTCAGAAGCACATACATGTCAGTGCTAGATGACGGAGTTTGTGTTTTAAACCTTTTTTTTTTTTGGTGGAAAAGCACTCAAATGTCACATCTCTGTGATCTCAAATACCAAACATTCCCAGGAGGCATGCTTTAAACCTTTTCTGATGACAAAAAGAGACATGCTAATTATTTAAGTGCTGTTTTCTAGGTGCTGCACAATTTTAATTAGTACTGAAATGTTGAGAAGGAAATGCTCACCCAGTTTATTAGACTGTCTTTCTTTTAATCACAATTCATTATTACATTATGATATTAAAATGTAAATGTAATAAAACTTGTCAACTTTTCTGTGTATTCAATCTTTGCTATTTGTTCTTCTCTTTTTATTATGATTACTGGATTTTTTATACTCCATTTGTGTTTTTGAGGTTTTAAAGTTATACTGGTTTAATCCAGAAAAATATATAGTTAGTCCTGCATTAACTTTTCTGGATTTGATTATTCACAGATTTGATTAAAAATGTTATCTCTAGAATTCTTTAAGTCCTCCAGTGCAATTCTGTGGTCCACATCTCCTTGATTTGTGCTAGAGGGCATAGTGATCCCTAGAGAGGTGTTTTCTCAGCCTAACAAAGAACGTTTTAATACACGGTTCTCCACTTTCATTGGGGTCCTGTGCACCTCACCCCAGTGAAAGTTAAGGAGTTCATTCTTGGGTTGTTGTAGGTTTTTTGGGCTGTATGGCCATGTTCTAGAAGCATTCTCTCCCGATGTTTTGCCTGCATCTATGGCAAGCATCCTTAGAGGTTGTGAGGTCTGTTGGAAACTAGGACAATTGGGTTTATATATCTGTGGACACAGGCATGTAGCCAGGGGGAGGGCTTGAGGGGCTTCAGTGTGGACAGTCCAGGGTGGGAGAAAGATCTCTTGCCTGTTGGAGCTAGGTGTGAATGTTTCAATTGGCAACCTTGATTAGCATTTGATGGCCAGACAGTTTTTAGGTGTGGCTTATTACTGGCTGGGGGAATCCTTTGTTGAGAGGTGATTAGCTGTTCCTGATTGTTTCTTGTCTGGAGTTTCCCTGTGTTTGAGTTTTGTTCTTTATTAACTGTTTTTTTAATACTGGTAGTCAGATTTTGTTCCTTTTCATAGTTTCT